AAGAACACATTGCACATTCAAGAACATGTTGCACATTCAAGAACACACTTCACATTCAAGAACACACTGCACATTCAAGAACACACTGCACATTCAATAATACGTTTTCAAATTCAAGAACACATTGCACATTCAAGAACATGTTGCACTTTCAAGAACTAACAAGTTGTGCATTTGACAACCTGTTACACATTCAAGAACATGTTGCACATTTAGGAACATGGTACTTCTTCAAAAACAAGCGTTGCACATTTGAGAACGTGTTGCACATTCAAGAACAAACATGTTGCACATTTAGGAACATGTTGCACATTTAAGAACATGCTACTCCTTCAAAAACAAGCGTTGCACATTCAAGAAAGTGTTTCACATTCAAGAACAAACATGTTGCACATTCAAGAACAAACATGTTGCACATTCGAGAACACGTTCAGTAGCGATCAGTTCTCAGATGGCCCATTGATAGAAAATATAAACTCCTGAAGTGTTGAAGTACCAGAGAAGCAACTTATAAGTAATTGGAGTGTCCATCCTGTCAGCTCCAACATGTTTTTTAAGCCGTGTCTACGTGTTTTTTGTACTTCATTGTTTGATGCCGTTCTTGCAGAACTTCTTCTTTAAGTTCTGTTCTATACTAGAACTACAAATGTGATCATAGATTTTTTTTATTTTCCTCCTTCTTCTTTTTGTTGCCATGTTTGCTCAGCTTAATGGTTAATTAAAGTTGGAAACAGACCAGGATGACCTTACATTTATGAATCCAACTGTTTGAATAGTGATCATTTGTCTGATTCCTCAGGTTAACCAGTCAAACGTTGCTACACTTCCTGCTGCACGTTTGCCAGATATGAGCAAATGATGATTTGTTTTCTAACAGTGTTGCCATGTAAGTGACGCTGTGACGCTAAAATTATAAACCGTTTCAATTCTGAGATATTCTTTTTGCCAAACTTAAAAGATGAGACAAAACACCTAATGGAAAAAAGCTTTTTTTTTTCTTTCTTCGACATGTCAGTTAAAATACATTCACTGAACATACGGAGTTATTGTCTGAAATGTGTTTCGATTGAAACAACTATTAACGATTTCCTCTGATATCACTTTTACTCTTAACTGTGACCAGATGGTAAAGCAGAAATAAATGTGTTTTGATGCTGCCTGGATGCTTTTTAATTGGTTTGTGAGGCAGCAGTCGAGTCACTATGTGGTTAGTAAAGAAACAAAAAGATGTCGGAGTGTAGGAGCATCAGTGGTCCAGGAATCGTGCTGTGATCTTTCGAATTAATAGGGAACACATGCTACAGGCTAGTGTCTGTGCAGTTTGTGTGTATCAAGTCAGCTTCTTTCCCTTTGGGTAAAAAGCCGAAAACGGGACACGCTGACCGTTAACAGCTAATCTGTGTTTATGTTTGAGAAAAACACTCTCGCTTACGTTGTTTATCCAAACAGAACCACAGATTTTTAACCGGCATTTTGCTTGCAAGGCCACCTTTTCAGGACAGGTTACATAAATATACATTAATGTACACACATTCTGCTCTAACCACTCAGCCACAGCTGAGTGGTTAGAGCAGTCATCCTCCAATGGGAGAGTTGGGGGTTCGATTCCACCAGCAGTCACATGTTGAAGCGTCCCTGGGCAAAGACAATGAACCTCTCATTGCCTCCGATTGTGTGTTCCATCGGTGTATGAATGTGATAAAACACTGATTGGTCTTTGTAGATGTATAGTAGAGTGCTGTATGAATGGGTAAATGAGGGCACAGAGTGTAAAGAGCTTTGAGTATCTTGATCAGATAGAAAGGTAGGCCTGTCACGAGAACAAATTTTGTTGGGCAATTAATTGTCTCAAATTATTACGATAAACGATAATATTGTTTGTTTAAGAAGAAATGTTGGTTAATTTTGTGTGTAGTACCTTTTTTCGACCACTGGATGGCAGTATAAGACTGTTTGAACCGAAGGATGGATAGTGAGGGAGCGAGCAGCGTGTCTCTTTAAGAAAAATGGGATGGAGGCCCCTTGACGTGACATGGGCTGTCTCTCGTTCCTGTTTTTCGGTTCTCAAAACGAGGGACGCTCATTGTGGTTTGAGCTCTTTAGCATAGCATTTGTCACACAAAGCTTTTAATTTAAACAAATCAGTAAACAAGTTCTCAGCTTGGGCAGCACGGTGGCACAACTGGTAGAGATGCTGCCTCTCAACGAGCAGGTCCCTGGTTCAAATCCCGGTCCAGAGGCCTTTCTGGGTGGAGTTTGCATGTTCTCTCCTAGGGATGCACGGATCCACTTTTTTTTTTTTTTTTTTCTTTTCACTTCCGATCCGATACCGATATCTGCAGTTTTGTGTCGGTTGATACCGATCTGAAAAAAGAAACTGTTGAATTAACAATAATGGCTAAATCACGTCATCTGGACCCGTTTCCGAAACAGGTCCTGATGACATGATTTATCCATTTTTGTTGTCTACCTGGGTGTTTGAGCTTACAAACCCAGTGCTGAATTAACTTAAAACATTTGTTTTGTTAAACGCAGACATGAATGTACTGAATTACGAATTTGTTGAAAACTCTGCACCATAACAGCACTTAAACACACCAAGAGCTTCACAGGTTGGTCAAACGTAAAAACAACACAACTTTAATTTGTTCAGTCGTACGCTAACGTGTGACGTCACTCAGAGCACAAAGTATAGAACTAGAGTGAATAGATCCGCCCAGTCATGGATCGGTCACAGCGTCACTGATACCCAATCCAGAAGTTTTTTTTTACATCGGTACCGATACCGATGTTTGTATCGGATCTGTGCATCTCTATTCTCTCCGTGCATGCGTGGGTTTTCTCCGGGTACTCCGGTTTCCTCCCACAGACCAAAAACATGCATGTTAAGCTGATTGGTAACTCTAAAATTGTCCCTAGTTATAAGTGAGAGAGTGAATGGTTGTTTGTCTCGTTTGTCTCTGTGTCCCTGTGATGGACTTGCGACCTGTCCAGGGTGTCCCCCACCCCTCGCACAGTGATTGCTGGACATTGGCACCGGCGACCCCCGTGACCCAAAATGGAAGAAGCGGGTAAAGATAATGGATGGATGGATGGAAGTTCTCAGCTTCATTTTGCAGAGAAAAACAGCTTTTTACACAAAGGCACGGGTTTCAACCGTGAATTTTGGAACTTTGACAAGATGGAGGTTTTTCCCCCGAGACCGGCCTGTTAGCTTAGCTCGTAGTTTAGCTTCTCAGCTTAGCTGCTTTTATCGATCCCAAAGCGCGATTTTGGATGGTTAAAATGGATTTTAAAGAGAAAGGGAGGGGGTCAGTGAAGAGCACCGGAGTTGAGCCTTTTATCATCCAGTGTCTTCAGTAGAAAGAGAGAGACACGATGAAACGATAAAGCCGATAAATGAAAATGAGGTTGATAATTTTCATTTATCATGCGATTAATTGATTTATTGTTTATCGCAACAGGCCTATAGAAAGGTGCTATATAAGTACAGTCCATTCCATGGACATGATTTAACCTTTTTTGTTGTTATCTACCTGGATGATTGAGCTTACAAACCTTCCTCTGAACCACTTTGACATTGGTTTTCCTTAGGCTGTTTCTGTGAGTAGCAAGTCGGCCATCTGGCCTAAAACATTTGATTATTGTTCACGATGATTGATTGTTTTGGATGGGTGTGCTCTGTTTGCAGGTGTTACAAGCCTACTTCTGAGATTCCAACAGGAGGTTGGCTTGAAACACAGCAATGAAGGCTACCTATGGGATAGATCTGGTTGTCATGCCGCTGATTGACCAAGTCCTCCAGATGGGGGACAAAACGTTTCTCACTTAAAGAAACTGGCACAGATTACATGATTTAACCTTTTTTGTTACAGTCCATTCCATTTAAAGCAGTCACTAGAATCTGCCTTGAGCTGCATAATCCACTCGCTTTTATACCCTTATCGTTTCAGCGGAGTTCAGAGCTCCATAGAAAATTCAGAATAGAATTCAAAATCTTGCTTGTAACCTACAAAGCCCTCAACAACCTAGCTCCATATTATACTACAGATCTTATTGTTCCATATTTTCCTAACGGAGTACTTTGCTGTCAGACTGCAGGTTTACTTGTGGTTCCTAGAGCTTCCAAAAGTAGAATGGGAGGCAGAGCTTTCAGTTCTCAAGCTCCTCTCTTGTGGAACTAACTTCTCAGCCATAGTAGAAAAAACCTTCAATAACCTGTGACCAAAAATTCTCTTGACAGTTTATATCTCTAGAAACGCACAATCAAAAGGCAGTACTTACAATACTTTCGTATTAATTTGTCGTACAAACCCCACAGGACTTAAGTTAGAATATTCTGACGTCCTGTAAGTTAATAGCTGTGACATTCTGGTTATACCAGAGCAACAAGAGCTGTTGAATTTTTTACTGGTTGCTTTTGTAACCCAGTTAAGCTCTCTTTCAGAGGCAGTATGTTTTAAGGAGCAGGTGATTTATGGCATCTAACATGTGAAAACACCCTGCTTGTGTACAGTCGGTTTAATAGTGCTGGGTTATGAAAGACGAGACCTGGCACGCACTGATCCTTGATATAAAGGATCCAGCTCTGAACTGGAGCCACTCGCGCCTCGTCCTGCCATTAGATGGAGTTACGACTGTATGTATTTATTAATGAGGCTGCGCTCATCCAAATGAAAGCTGTCCCAGATATTTGTGCCTTTCGTTGACGTTTTCATACCGTTTTGTATCCGTCTTTTCTCCTGCATGTGTGAGAAACCTTGTGTTTTGGGGGTCTTCCTGTTTGTATGACTGTGAGGGGTATTTCCCACTGAGGGATTAATTTAAGTATCGCTTTCAGGTCTTCTGGTTTTCAAGTGGTTCCCCACTTCCTCATTAAAGCCAACATCTATCCCACATCCTTTCCATCCTCCGCCCCCCATACTCGGCGTTATGTTGGTGGAATAATTCCTTGTCTTCGAGAAATACTGGAAATCTTTTGAAAGGAAGCCAAACAGTACGTATCGAACGGGGATTTCAGGTATCGGGTTCCTCAGGTGAAAAAACGTCTCGTAGAAAATTTTTCTTCTTGGTATTTTTTCCGTTTTTAGAGCTCGAACATTCCCGTTTGCCTAAAGCTTGTTTCTCCCGTATAAAACCAGTCTCTTTTTGTCTTTTTTCTCTCCCAGTATTCAGCGGGCAGCTCTAGCCGTCGTAGAGCACTACTACAGTGACTTCCCGATCCACAACCCAGCGCTGCTTTCTGCCTCCAAGTCCCGCGCCGCTAAGCACCTGGCTGGCCTCAAGGTCTACAACGTGGACGGTGAGTTCCCAGCAGCCTCTGCTAATGATCCAGGGAAGCTTGTTCTGTCTCATTTTTTAGTGTTCTAAACAAGTCAAGTCTCAGCCTTTGCTTCTTAATAAGCAAAAAATACCCCAGTGTTAAATATTTATTTAAATTGATATAATGTATAGTGTAAATCAAGTATCTTACAGAGCTGTGATGGTGTGGTGTTGTCTCACTTGAAGTAGTCACAGAGTCATTGGGGGATTTAGTGTCCGCAAATACATAAGTCCAAGAGAACTTCAGGAGGGTTTGGCGATCTATGGAGTCCAACTGAGAAAAAGAATAAACTGTGAAAAAACACGTCATTCATAGGAATTTTGTTCAGTGTCGCAATTCGTTTACGGTATTGTACGTGCGTAAATGATTCGTAAATACCACGTCTCCAGCTTGTCACTGGCGCTCACAGCTCTTTGATGCAATTTACTTTACACAACAGTTTACATTTTCTTCAAACAGCATCTAGAACTTTCATTAAAAAAATAAATAAAATCTGACTTCCATTCAGAAGAGTCCAGTCCATCCAAGCCTAAAATTCTTCATCACCAGACAGTTTTACTGGTGTTTCTCCACATGGGATTTTTGTCTCCAGTTGTAAAACAAAGAGGGGAATTGGAAATATGATCTGTCCATCCAATTCATCGTGAAGTATCGACTTCCACTTTTGTGTGCGGCTGCATTAAGGTGTAAGTAAGGTCACTGGTGAAAATTGGAATGCCACGTCATAATCCAAGATGGCTATCGTGCATACAGTATATACAGTAGTCCCTCACTACTTCGCGGTTTGACTTTTGCTGACTCGCTCTTTCGCGGTTTTTCAAAGTAAGAGTGGACACGACACACAATTGATGGATGAGCCACACGAACGGCATGGATTGTTTATTTAAAATAAATTATTTTAAATTATTTAACACCTGCTAAATCATTAAGTGCAGGGTGCAGCTCCCTCTGCAGCCTGTCATGATCGCCGCTCTCTGCCACATGCGGCTCTCTGCCACGCCCACATTTCTCCTCCGGCTGAAGCAGCTTCGTGAAGGGTTTGTTGTCCTGCTGCGCTTCTCTTCTCTACAATTTAAATACTGTAATATTTTAAATAAACAATATTTAAAATATTACGGTATTTAAATTGTTTATTCACACAGAATGTGGGAGATTGGGAGTGAAACTTGAACAGTATCCCTACTTCACGGTTTTTCACTTATTGTGGGGGGTGTGGTCCCCTAAACCCCGTGATAAACAAGGAACTACTGTATTTGTAAAACAGCCATCTGAATCATTTGAGAAAACTGCTTTTTATTTTTATCTTGCTTAAAATTGTAGTTTCTTCAAATGATTGTGGTGGCCTTCAGGGTGGCCAAAGATTAATCTGTGCTGGCCAAGGCCACCACTGGCCACCCCTGGCTCCGTCATTGTACTTAGCAGCGGATAAAAATTCTCCCTCAACTCGCCAGGAGCCATCACTCTGCGTTGCACAAAAATAAAATAAATAAAACACTCTTCTACGCAGTGTACCTCCTGACCACTTGAATATCTTGTGTTAAAAACATTTAGATTTACTTGCATTCCCTGTTCAATTCCAGTCCAGAAAAACACTCTCCTCCAAAACTACAAACATTCACTTTTCAAATCCTTCAGCGATGGGGGACATTGACATACCGCTTGTTTCCTATTGACGTTTACCTTTTTCTAAATCAAGGATTCATTTCTGAATTGAGTCATTTGGCTTAAAACCAGTTCAAGTTTATCCTGTTTGATTTCATATTATGAGCATTATCAGATATTAATGTGGCACACTGAGACCTCTGTAAATTAGTTAAAAACGAACTCCTAACTCTTGTATAAAGCTACTAGCTATATGTTAGCTTGCCTCTTTATTTGTCTTATATGTATCTCGTATCAAGCTTCAACAAGTAGATATTTTTCCTCTTTAGGAATGTACTGAACCGAATGGCTGCCTGGAAGGAGGAAAATTGATCGGCTAACGTTACAGCAGTAAAACCGTTGACAGTTTTATCATGTCCATGTGATTTGTAGTTAATGTGTGACAACTTGCTAAAATGCACCCAGGTTGGAAGATTTTCTGAGCAGGTGGAACTGAAGCTGACCTATTTTTTTTCTACTTTTGTGTTTTCTTTCACACTACTGCTAACACCGTAAGACATCTATAGAGCTAAACTGAAAACCTACTTTTTGGACAGTAAGTAAATGAAAGACAGCATCCTCACGAGACTGTTCACTTTTCAAGAGTCTTCATGCTTCCTTACTCCTCTTCGCTCTTTGCATGCCACCGGTTGGTGAAAAACTTTTCTCCTTACGACATCTGAATCACCAAAAGTTCTTGTTTTCTCCGTGGAACATCTAAAACAGGCAGCCAGTGTAAGGACTTGAAATCAGGACTAATGTGAGCTCTATCTCTGGTCTTTGTCAACACTCTTGATGCTGAATTCTGAATTAATTGGAGCTGATTTATTGTATTCTTTGAAAAACCACAAAGGAAAGCATAACAGTAGTCCAAAATACAATTAAGAAGTGTGTCAATATGCCAGTGTCATCAGGAGACACAGCAACATATAGTAGAGTGTCATCAGCATAACTGTAAAAAGGAAATGTCTTCTGATAACCCCACCCAAGGGCAGCATATGCATATTAAAAAGAAGGGATCCTTAAATCAATCCTTGTGGTACACCACAAGTAATATTGCAGTTTTTGGATGAACTGGAACTGAAGCTGACCTTTTTTTTCTCCTACTTTTGTGTTTTCTTTCACACTACTGCTAATACTCCAAGACGTCTATAGAGCTAAACTGAAAACCTACCTTTTGGACAGTAAGTAAATGAAAGACAGCACCCTCACGAGACTGTTCACTTTTCAAGAGTCTTCACGCTTCCTCACTCCTCTTCACTCTTTGCATGCCACCAGTTGGTGAAAAACTTTCCTCCTTACGACAGCTGGCTGAATGTAACACAAACCCTCCGTTAAATTATTACTGTCCCATAAGTGTACTCAAGCTCCACTCGACTGTGCTAACTTTACTTTTTTCTGCTCCCATTTGTCTCCCTCCATTCGAACATTAGTGGCAGATGGTCTCGACGATGGCTGATAAATCAATAGCTATTAGGTCGTCAGTCTTGTCATTTGTCCCTGGAGTATCTCCATCGTTCAGGTTCATCCTGCAGCAGCTGCGCAGGGACCCCTTGCTCTCTTTCTCGCACATCTCTGATCTTGAGCTACTTTCACTCCCTCAATCATTCTGCCTCTAATAAATAATTTCAGCTCTGAGACGAACAATAATCTTTGCTTGATTAAGAAGTGGCAAAGCACGAAGCAGCCGCCGCGCTCAGTTCCACTGCAGCCAAGTGGCTTCGAGAGTTTTTCTCTGTTATTAGATTTGATCTTTTCTTTTTCTGAGATACCAGAAATTGATGCTCTGACTGTCCCTTCAACGTTGGATTCAGGAGGAGCTGGTCATGGGACAGTGGACCAGATATCTTTACTCGTTTAGATTTGCAAAGGGGATTGTGTGGGTTTGATTCTCCTCCAGTCAACATGTGTTGTATGGATTTGGAGAAAGCTTTTGTGTTCCTCAAGACAGTCTGTAAGGGGGATCACTTTTAAGGACTATCCGCTCCCTGTAAAGTCAAAGCAGGAGCTGTGCCCACATCCTCAGCACAATCTAGCTCATTCTCAGCGCAGGTTGGACTCCACCAGGGCTGTCCCTCGTCTCCAATCCTGTTTGTGGTGTTCATGGACAGAAACTCAAAGCCATTGTGGGACAGGAGGGTGTCTAGTTTGGGAACCTCAGGGGTTTGTTGCTGCCTTTTGCAAATGATGTGGTTCTGTTAGTTTAATCATGACCTTCAGCATGCACTGGGGCAGGCTGGTCTGCCAGTGTTCAAACCCTCACCTATGGTCATGAGGTATAAATTATGATTCAAAGAACGAGATCTTGGATACAAGCGGCTGAAATGAGTTTCCTTCATAGGGTGACTGAGCTCAGCCGTAGAGCTAGGGAGAGGAGCTTCTTCCTCCTGGGGTGAATTTGGACTAGAGCCTCTTTTCCTCAGCACCAGAAAACAATCAACTGAGGTGGTTCAGGCATCTGATTAGAATGCCTCTCAGTGGATATTTCCAGACATGTCCCACTGAAAGAAAACTGAACCAGAACACGCTGAAGGGATTATGTATCTTTTCCGGCCTGGGAAGGCCTTGTATCCCTCTGGAGGAGCTAGAGTACAGTCTTTCTCCTTCTATTATACAAGCAGGGTGCCCTGCCCCATCAACAGAACCGAGTGTCCTAACTACCGAAACTACACCTCACCCCTTGGACAACTGTCGGTATTGTTGTAGCATGGGGGTCAATACAAACTTGCTAGCAAACATGCTACTGACGTACCGCTCCGCTCTGCGTCCCCCGTCGATAAAAACAGACAGTAATGTAGCACGAAGGTAGTGGGCGGGCAACATAGACGTGGCTCCGTCCCATCCTCCTCCACACACATACCCCCCTCCCCCCGGCAACAAAAATAAAATACGACAAGCGCCCCGCCAAGGGAACTGGTCTCGGGGAAAGACTGGGGAGGGTCACCAGGGGGCGGTATGTCCGGGTTTTCCTCCTGGACCAGATGCCTCTGTGACCTGAATACAAATAGGCAAATGGATCAGAATTCAAGTAGTTTTCTTAGTTAATACTGAAACACATACAAACCCAAATTTTCCTTAAACCGTTTGTTACCGTTTCCCACTAATGAGTTTTTACACAGCCTTGAGGAGTGTTGCATGTAGAAAGGAGTTTAAAAGGCCTTGCGCAGATACATTGATTGTCAGATTATTCTCACATTCAGCATAAAATCTCCCTCTTATTATGACCGGAGTTGGGTGAGCTCTCCCCCCTTTCTGTGTTCATGAATTATTCTGTTCGAGCTCGATCCCTGCCCCGCATTAATAATTCATCGACTCAGCCTGCTTTTAACCTGCATTAATATCAGCAGCCTCACAATCGCCGTCTGAGAAATTAAACTTTTCCAGCTCCCATAGATGCTTTTCTAATTGGATGCAATGTAATTTAAATGTTTGAAGGTCAACAGATTTCAATGTTCATTGAAGTCTGAGTTCGAAAGTTCTCAGGGTTTTCATGTTGAAGGCGATTAAAAGAAATGGAACCAAGTTTTTGTTAATCTCACCCCTCTTTACTCAAACAGCAGCTCAGTTCCCCTCACTTTGCACTTCATGTCATCATCAAAGGCTTCGTTTTACCTTCGGCATTGTCTCTTTACCTGCAAATTTGTCTGATCATCTCCACAGGCCCTGGGAACAACGCATCAGCGGGGCTTGTCCAGTCCCAGTCCAGAGCCATGATCGCGGCCGCAGCCCGACGCCGGGACACCAGCCACAACGAGTTGTACTACGAAGAGGCTGAGCATGAGCGGCGAGTCCGCAAACGTAAAGCACGGTGAGCCAGACAAGCAGCTCTAAAGGAAAAGCTGTGTGTGAAAGTTGGCCAAAGATCTTGCTGTTTACATTTAGGAGGCAAAGTAGCACTTTTACCCCAAGATCAGACCATGCAATGTTCAGAGAAACTGCAAAAAACCCAAGAGCTCCATCTCAGACTTTCAGTTAAGGTTCATGATAGGACAGGTAAAAAACATTAAACAAGAATGGCTTATTGGGATGAAGGGCTGAATGTAACAGAACCATAGACTAAAGCATACAGAGTTTTCTTTTATAAGCATTTGGTTACAGCTGTCCACGACATCCAAAGCATCAGTTATTTACATATACCTAAACGTATCTTTCATATACCGAGAGTATTTGTACCAAAATGTGCGCTATATACTTGCATACTTTGCATCCCTTAATGTAACTAATGAAAATGTACCATGGCATGGCTTTGAAACTAATTTCAATTTTTCTATACAATTTGGAAGGGTTGCAAAAGAAAAAAAAAAGTTAAAAGCGTTAAAAGTATCAAGATTATGGACTCCTCTCAGGCTCTCCGGAAGGCCATTCCATAGTTTTGGTGTATACTTACTAAATGCTGAATCACCTAAAGTTCTTGTTTTCTCTGTGGAACAGCTAAAACAGACAGCCAGTTTAAGGACTTTGGAGAAGGACTAATGCGAGCTCTGCCTTTGGTCTTTGTCAGCACTCTTGATGATGAATTCTGAATTAATTGGAGCTGATTTATTGTACTCTTTGGAAGATCACAAAGGAGAGCATTACAGGAGTCCAAAATACAATTAAGAAAAGCGTCAATAGTCCATTGACATCAGGAGACACAGCAACATAAAGCGTAGTGTCATCAGCATAACAGTAAAGAGTGTGTCCCACCCAAGAGCAACATATACAAATTTTCAAAAAGGGATCCTTAAATTGATCCTTGTGGTACACCGCAAGTAAAATTGTAGTTTTGTATGAGTGATTGTCATTTTTAACAAGAACGTTCTCTCTCATTTGAAGAAGTAAAATTTGCTGTGTTTTTTCTCAGACTGGTGGTGGCGGTAGAGGAAGCCTTCACCCATGTCAAGCGCATGCAGGACGAGGAGCAGAAAAAGGCTCCCGGCGACGTGATGGACCCACGCGAGGCGGCGCAGGCCATCTTTCCCTCCATGGCTCGGGCCCTGCAGAAGTACCTGAGGACCACCAAGCAGCAACACTGCCACAGCATGGAGAGCATCCAACAGCACCTGGCCTTCTGCATCACCAACAACATGACGCCCAAGGTCCGAACTGCTTCATTCTTGATTGCTTGAATTCGTAAAGACGATGATATCCAGCTTGTGTTATCTCCTCCCAGGCGTTCCTGGAGAGCTACCTGACACCGGGTCCCAGCTTGCAGTACAGCCGGGACCATTGGCGAGCCCGCCAGTGGACGCTCGTCAGTGAGGCGTCGGTCACCAGTGGTGTGAAGGATGGAACCATCTTCCTACTCAAGTGCGTGGACTTCAGCTTGGTAGTGACGTTCAAGAAGATCCCCTACATCCAGATGTCCGAGGAGTACATCGACCCCAAATCTCACAAGTTTGTCCTGCGACTCCAGTCCGAAACCTCTGTGTAGGACGCCAAACACTTTCTAAATTCCTCACAAGGTCTTGGTTTGAAGCTTTTATTTGTACTTTTCTTTTTAAGAAACCTATACAGACGTCTTTATCGCACACACATCTGGATTTATGGATATTTTTATGTTCCACTTCGATCAAAAAGAAGAAACGTCGTCATGTGCACAAATCCTGTTTGTGTGTCGTTTTTGGTGTCGGCACATTCACTCGTTGCGTTCTGAGGTTTGGGACGCGTAAGCCAAACGAGTTTGAGATAAAGGCACATTTTGAAGTCACCACAGAAGACGGACAAATCTTTACCACCGGCAGTGGTGTGAGGGAACACAATTTGCTCATCAGAAACCAAACTTGTGTCAAAATGAACATTGAATGCACATGCTTGTCTCACTCCAACATGTCCAACTTATTTAGCGTACAGTAGCATTCTGAGCTGCTATTTTTGGCAACAAGATGCTTTGGTTCCTTTTGGTGCTGACTTCTCAAGGTGCCAAAAACTGCAAACATTTCCACTCTTGTTGGGAACAACATGATTCAAATGTTGGGCTAAACACAGAATAAGCTGGGTAATAAGAGACACATGGACATGGACACGTGTCCAAGGACATTTGCCCTTTTCCTCAAAAGCTTCAGTAATCCTCTCAGGGCTTTTGTGTCTGCTGCCACATCTGCCTGACATGACGAGACAAGAGCTGTGACTTCAGAAGAAGAAAAAACGACTACTGATTCCCCCGGAGCACATTTGGCCTCATGTAGCAGCAGATTTAGAATAAAAAATAAAAGACTGTTACAAAGACACGGTGGGGCTACACTGCAACGGCTCAAATGTCCATTTTTAGTTTCATTTTCAAACACATTCAAAGTCTTGTCATTCAAGTCCAATTGTCATAACTTCATGCCTTTATGTTTGTGTTGCAATGAAAGGAATATTTGTGGAAATGTTATAGATGGCTATTTGAACAACCTCAGGTGGGAAAAATAAACTAAAATTAAAGAACTCTGGTTTAAGCACATGGCTAATAATTAAACAATACCACTAGAGGGCGCTCTGCCCACCCCTGCCATTCTTCACATTTGTAACATCGTGGAGAAGCTAAGATGGCGTCCAAAATGGGAAACTGCTCATGGCCGACAAACCGACTGTTTAACAGCAAACGCAGCTAGATCTGTGTCACAAATGATTTTAAATATCTTTACAGTAACTTCATATAATTCTATGTTGAGTTTGTACAAGAATCATGTAAAACAGCTACGTTACAGAATGAAAATATACTGGGTCTAGCTAATGATCTAAACTAGACCTGAAGTCCGTTATAAGTCACAGTTTTTTGCATAATTTGCATGCCCTGTGACTTATACACCGATGCAACGTATTTATAGATTTTTTTCCCATATTTATAAACCAATTTTTGGCTGAGATATAACCGTTGTCATTCAGTCTGATTGAAAATATTGAACACTACCATTTTCAGCCACTAGATGGCACTCGATGTGTATTGCATGCTGTTGTGTCATGTAATTGGCTATTAATGACACAATTGGCTTGCCACAGCCTGCCACCTACGTCCAGCTTGCCTGGAGCAACCGTCAAATCAGCTTAATTTTGTTGCGCTGCCCCAACGAAATGCAGCTAATTTGACCATTGAAGTGCATTTATTAAGTAACAGTTAAACCGAGACACACCTTTACTATAATGTCGAGCAAACCAATAATTGTTTTTAAGTGTTACTCTTGTTAAATTTTTGTTAAAGTCGTCCCGTGCACGCTCCCGCCTTTTGGCAGCCAATCGATTTTTGACACAACACCGGCCCACATTTCCAGGTTGTCAGCTGTCAGGTGACGCGTAACAAACGTGACGCGTTATCGGTGATGCATAATAGGTGTGGTGTGACGTGTACGGCGGAAAATACAGTAATGACTGACTTTCAATAATCACAGCTAACCAAAAAGTTAGCTTTGCTAAACGCTAACACACAGGGCTTAATTTGTAAACCAATCGATGCTGGAATGCAAATAGTGGGCGGGGTTGAGGGAAATTTTGAATAAAGTAGATGCCATTTCCTGTATTCTATTGTATTTTAACTGGTTGGTAAACATCTACGTTTACCTACATTTGTAAACACTCCGCTAACTGCTTGGTTAGCTCAGCACTCACCCCCACCACTCGCTCGCTTCTCCAGTCTCGACTGCCGCTGCCTTCAGGTGCTTCAATTCTCGTTTGTCCAACTAAGGACAATGAGAAACCTTGTTTTTGCAAAAGTAAATTTGGACTGTCTTTTTTACATTTTGATCGCTGTTATTTTAATAAATTAGCGCCGTTGTTTTGATACGTGATGTGAATAATACACATCAAACATTTGTCTCGTTGTTTTTAATAAATCTAATTTTTATTAATGACTCACTTAAACTGTCAAACTGATTTGCAATGTAGTTGTGCTGTTTAATTATATTTTTGAGTTTTTTAATAAAATTGCGTGAAGACTTTGGACTTTTGGGGGTTGGGGGGGTGTTGAGGGTAGAAGCGGAAATGCTTACTTGAAGAGGCAGCTCGTATGTGATATTAAGAAGCTCGTAAGTGGGTGTTGTGTTTAAAATGAGTGTTTATGTAATTATTTTCACTTTTTATATCCAATATAAGTTTTATTTATTCAAGGCAGTCATATTTGTTCATAACTTTATTATTAGTAAGCCTGAGAGTTACTGGATCCAAGCAAACAGTTACCCTGTCCAAATAAGGGAGTTCTCAGGATCTGGCTCAAATTAAGCCCTGCTAACGCGTTAGCTAACGCTAAAACGCAAAAAAAAAAAAAAAATTATTTTTGCGGAAGCTAACGCTAAAGCGCTAACTTTTATCACGCACTGCTGTCACTAACACTGTAAGACTGTGAAATGACAACGTGAGTGAACACAACTCTAAACAGTTCATAAATCACGAGGTGAGCAAGCTCAATAACCGTCACGTGCAGACGTTTGCCCTTTTTGGTAATGGCCGTCGTTGCTGCTGTGAATCACAAGGTCACGTGACCAGTGGTTATATAACTCATGAAAAAACTGTTCAGTGTTTCCCCTAGATCAGTTCCCTTAGCAGGGCTCTCGTCATATTTTATTTTTTGTCTCGTCACGTCTGTGTTGCCCATCTGCTAGCTTAGCGCTACGTTGCTGCCGGTTTGTTGCTGCCAGTTTTTATCGGTCGGGGGAGGGGTCACGTTGTCACATCTGAGTTGAGTTTAGCGCCATGTTGCCAGTTGTTGTCAGTCCAGAATGTCTCAAAAACGTATTAAATTAGTTTCTGAGTCCGAAAATGCGATAAGCGCGAGACACGTTTGGTGATGGGATTTGCCTGGTTAAATAAAGGTTGATAACAAAAAGCGTTGGCGATCGATGGAACCAATTAAAACTGATTGGAGACGCATGAAAGAGAATAAAGTACAAATTGAGACGCTCAGACTAGCAGATTTTTCCAAATTGAGGTTGATTCAAGAGCTATCTACAACAAGTAAGATATTAACTGTTCATAATCTTTCCACAGAACCTTCAAGATCTCTGAACCCCCTTTAGGATTTATTTGAATGCACACATGTGCGAGTAAAAAAAAGTCAGATATGACGTGTCGTGGATGGAAATGGGCATTGTGCTTTAAATGTAAACACGTCAAACTAAACGGATATTTACAGAGTTTAAAGTATGATGTCATCACTCAGGGCCCTTTATGGCATGAATTCTTCATTTGCCATCGTAAATCAACAGAGGCTGATCAACAACAAAAGCTGCAGCAGGGTGGAGCCTCCTTCCCAACTGGACCGGCTGTTTGTTTTTCCCACTTTCACCGGCTCATCTCACAAACGTCTCTCCAGGTCGGTCCCCTCACAGAAGAGTTTTCCGGTTTGGTTCGCATGTTTTGTGAGGTAAAGTCAAACAAACGTCTAATTATAAGCTAGAATTGACTCCTTGAAATCCTGTCTCTCTCTCTGTGCCTGAAAAGCTGATGTGACTCCCCATGAGTCATAAAATCTGTCATCTCAAACAGAAAATATCCTCTACTTCCCTCTGGTGGCTGAATCTGTTACTGTCACTCTGAAAACAGCATTTTAAAATGTTTATTTGCAAAAAATATATATTTTTAACGCTGCATTTTCAAAAGCAAGCGCCTGCATGTGTGTTTGTGCCATTCCAGTTCCGACCCACCCCCTCACACTCTTCTTTATCCCCATCATTTTCATCCCCCATCATCCTCCTCCTCCTCACTGTTGCCAGGTTACAGTCCTCCGTCACGGCTCGGTGATTGACGAGCAGCTTTATGATGACGATGGTTTGATATTTGTAAGAAAAAAGTAATAAAGAATTTTGTATGGATGTTTGTAAAACTTTTGTGTTGCTGCTTTTGTTGAAGTTTCTGTAACGATTTTGTTCGGGACAGACGAGATCTTTACTTTTTAGTTTATTATTTTGGGCCTTTAGAAAAAAAAAAACAAGGATACACATTACTGACATTAGCATTTGCGAAACAAAAATATCTGATTTAGCGGTTATTTTTATGTTTAAAAGTTCCTAACGAGTTAAATTGGGCTAATTTAAGTTCCCACGCGTCTCAACTGGAAGTGGAAACACCACTTTTCCGCCATTATTGTAGGCAAGCACTAGAAAACGACGATAAGGACGGTTTTCTGATGAACCAAAACAAAGTGCATCGATACTCTTGACCGATACGCAAGAGATAGATGTATCCAGGAAACCGCTGCTGTCGTGATTGACTCGTATGAGGTAGAGAACTTCAGACAAGTTGCCTCTGATCTCTTGATATGAACACGATGAGTTCCTACACGATGGAGGAGCTTCACGGCCTGAAATCCAGGACGCGTACAATCGGTGTTCTAATGGCTTTGTGAAGGACGTCCGAACTGAGAGCTGCCTGGTTAAATAAAGGTTTAAATAAATAAAAATATTAACATGCAAACCCCTCACCAGGCCCAACTTGGTCTAGAACCAATAATATTCATGCTGTGAGGCGACAGTGATAACCACTAAGTAATCGTGATCTCATATTGGCCTGTCACGATAACAAATTTTGCTGGGCGATTAATTGTCTCAGAAATTATTGTGATAAATGATATTGTTTGAAATTTGATATTTAGTAATTATTGTAAAATTTATGAAGAAATGTTGGTTAATTTGTTTCTTGTGTAGTACCTTTTTTGACCACTGGATGGCAGTATAAGACTGAACCGAAGGATGGATAGTAAGGGAGCGAGCTGCGTGTCTCTTTAAGAAAAATGGGAGGGCGGCCCCATGACTTGACATGGGCCGTCTTGTTTTCCTGTTTGTCGGTTCTCAAAATGGCGGACGCTCCGTGTGGTTTGAGCTCTTTAGCATAGCATTTTTCACACAAAGCTTTTAATTAAAAAAAAATCAGTAAACAAGTTCTCGGCTTCTTTTTGCAAAAAAACCCCAACTTTTTACACGAAGGCATGGGTGAATTTTTTAAGCTTCGACAAGATGTTTTTTTTTGCTAGGTCAGCGTGTTAGCTTAGATTGTAGCTTAGCTGCTTTCAACGATCCAAAAACGCGATTTTTGGATGGTTAAAACAAATTTTAAAGAGAAAGGGAGGGGTCAGTGAAGAACACCGGAGTTGAGTCTTTTGTCATCCAGTGTCTTCAGTAGAAAGAGAGAGACACAAAGAAACGATAAAGCCGATAAATGAAAATGAGGTCAATAATTTTCACTTATCATGTGATTTATTGATTTACTGTTTATTGTGACAGGCCTAATCTCAACAACACATTAACAGAACATTTTTAATAAAGTAGATGTGATTTCCTGTATTTTGGTAAACTTACATGGGTTGTTAAACGTTACATTTATCAACATTTTTAATCACTCCGCTTGTGTCAACCACCCCCCACTTACTTGACAGTTCCGAGCCCGACACTGTCCCCGCTCGCTGTTGTCCAACTCCACGTGAAACCTCCAGGCGGACTGCCTGCTTAGCTCGGCACTTGCCCCCACCACTCTTTCAGGGGCGGAGATTTTTTTAAGAGTAGACGTGGAAATGCTACTTGGAAGGGGCAGCTCGTAAGTGGCTGTTGTGTTTAAAATGAGTGTTTATGTAATTATTTTCAGAGTACATATCCAGCATAGGCGTTATTTGTTCAAGGCAGTCATATTTGTTCATAACTTTATTATTAGTAAGCCTGAGAGTTACCGGATCCAAGCAGACCATTACCGGAACGCACCCTGTCGAATGCTGTTAACGGATTAGCGGAACTGTTCCCACCGCTGGTTTTGTGCACAAATAAATTTCAGCCTTCTTGGTTTCTGTAAAACGGTGATGAATGTCAGACTTTGAGTCGTAAACTAGTTCTGCTCCCCACAACTACAGCGAAGAAGTCCTCACCTTTGAAAGAGACCTTCCTTTTTTCCCCACCATCTCGTTCTTCCTAAACAAGAAACCGTTGAGTTCATCATATAGCTTCCTGCCTGGCTTCAGACTAACTCTCCTCTGTCGCGGCACATTAAGTGTCCTGCACTTCTATGTGACAACTGGGTCCAAATATCCGCTTTCCAGCCATGATTCATGTGGCTTTTCTGTTGTCACGGAGCTCGGCGGTAATTGGCCGGCCATCAGCCTGTCAGACGTACAGACGGGCCTTGTGGGGAAATGAACATCAGTGTTGGTGTTCGACACTGAAAACAAACAACCTCATACCTCCGCGGGCCACGGGGCGCGAGGCGGCCTGTCGGAACTCATCTGTCCTCAGCTCAAACCCCCGCCGCACCGTTCCTGTTTAGTGTGAGAGCAGGATGAGGAGGGAGAGGATGGGGAAGGGAAATGAGGAGCATTTGCATCTAAATGGAATGTTTTCTTCCCTTCGTTTCTCGTTCTCCATTTGTCTCGTAATGACTTGTAGATTGAGTCTCGAGATGAAACCCCTCAGCTTCTGTCTCCTTTGATTTTTAAACAGTTGTATGCTTTTTGCCTTTTTTAGATTGAACCTCTTGATCCGTTCTTCCTTGTGAAGGTGTGCGATAAGTCGTTCTTTTTGCTCTTCTCGTAGTCGGCAGTCCTGTAAAGCCTCACATTTGACCCCCATGGAAGTACGACCTAAAGACTGGTTCCAACACTCTAGTTATTTTTACTCGGAGGGTGCGACGTGTTTAAAGTCCTAATGTCACGTTTGAATGAAACAAACACGCACCTAATTAATGTCCCTGAAAGAGAGAGTTCACTTGTACCAAACTGAACCGTCATGTCCACCTCCGGGTGTTGAAAGACTCCAGCAAAGCTTTGTATATTTTATTCATGTTCAGCTTTACGTGTTCAACAGGACTGTGTAACGTTATACAGTTTGCTGAGCCCCAATGGGCAGCTTTTTAAGCACACCCCCCTTCACCTCTGAGCTTCAATGTCCAGGTCTCCACAACCATTAAGAGACGTAACGTAACTGAATTATTAACAATGTTTGAATAATTCAGTATGAAGAAGCTCACCCACAGAAAAATCTATCTGTTTTTTTTTTGTGGAGATATGTGCCCCGTCTACAGTGCTATGGATATTTAAACAGATTTGTTTCCCCGTCCAAAGCAAAAACACTGAAATACACATGCCACCCCACTTGGTGGCAACGATGGATATATTGACGACATAAAATGCAGAGTTCTATGAAAGGGGTCGCAAAACTAGCCCCTTTTTAAATGTGCCCCATTGTGAAGATAAGAGGGAGAATTGGAAATACCCACCATCCCTCCGTGCGTGTTGTCAGCATAACTTGAAGAACAAGTGAGGTATCCACTTCTGTTCTGGTGTGTGGCTACATCTAGTTGTAAGAAAGATCACTCCAAAGTTGGGTTGCCACATCAAAATCCAAGATGACCACGGCCATGTGTGTGTGTTTGTGGTTTCCTCAAATGATTGGTGGTGTCCTTGGGGTGGCTGAAGATCAGAGGTGGCCATGACCAACAATGGTGACGCCCCTGGCTCCACCATTACACCTGGCAGTAGATAAAATGGTTTCCTCTAATCGCCAGAATCAGTCACTCCATGCTGCCTGCCTCTGTGCTGTTGCACAGTGTACCTTCTACACACTTGAATATCTTGCAACAAAACCATTGAGGTTTACTTGAATTCCATGTTGAATCCCAGTCCGGAAAAACACTCATCGCAAAAACTGTAAAACATTCACTGTTCAAATCCCTCAGCGACGGGGGACATCGGCGGACCGCTAGTCTGCCTTTGGCTTTTCTTAAAAGCACAAGCTGAGCCAGGCATGTTTCTCAGCTTTGGGTGGTTACACAGATGAAGGTGGCATCGCAAAACCATACCACTTTATTTATAAAGCACTTAAAAACAGCAACAAGGCCAAGCAAAATGCTGAACAAACAAGCAAAGGACACGGGATAAAATACATAGATCTTTAAATAGGTAAAGATAAGAACTAAATGGCAAACATTATAGAATACATACAAGTTCAAATCAACTCACACAGTGTCAAAAGCCCGGGAATAAAAGTGAGTTTTTAAACGAGACTTAAAAACAGTGAGAGAGGGTGCCTGCCTGACATACGGTGGTAACTTATTCCACGGTTTTGGACCTGCAACAGAGAAGGTTCTGTCACCTCTGAGCTTAAAATAAGTGCCTGGAGCCAATAAAAGCCTGTGGTCTGCTGACCTCAGAGAGCGCTGTGGGGCATATGGCTGCAGCAGATCAGCGAGATAAGAGCGGCAGAACTGTTCAGAGATTTAAAAACATACAGAAGGATTTTAAAATGAATTTGAAAGTGAACGGGGAGCCAGTGAAGGGAGGCCAGAACTGGAGTAATGTGCTCTCTGTTGCCTGTACCAGTTAAAAATCTGGCTGCAGCATTTTTGAACCAGTTGTAAACGTGCAGTAGAGGTCTGACTGTAACTCGGCAGCGTTGACATGGCGTGCTGAGCATAAGAGCTGACCGGAACATTCAGGGTCGCAGCCTTGCATAGGAGAGCTCCTATGCCGGTGTCAGAGTGCTGCACCAGAATTGACCAAACCTGAACCAAGATGCGTTCAAGACACTCGCCGCAGTCACAGTGAGCTAATTTATTGCAAATTTTTTAAACATTTTTTGAGCATGTTAAAGATTCAGACTGCGAGCCTCTGCGAGTCGAGGCAACGCAAGAAAATTGAGAAGCCCCGCAAACGTTTCGTGACACTTTTGAAGCCAAAACGGAGAGTCCCTTACAAACGTCGTTTGCCAACAAGTCGCCAACGGTCGCAGCCGATGCTGGCTGAAGGTGTCACCTATAACCAGGGGTTCTTTCTGGAAAAGTTTGTGATATACGCAAGTAAAAAGATGCCATTCAAGTACAGTAGTCCCTCATTTATCGCGGGGGATCCGTACACTGAAACCCTACGATAAGTGAAAAACCGCGAAGTTGGAAAAGTAGTACAAGTAGTAAATAGTTTATTTTAGTATATAAAGGTGTTTTAAACCCTTCCCACAGTTTTGCAATATTCTAAATGTTTCTAAACTGTAAAAGAGCACAGAATGTCACATCATCTCTCTGCCTCCAGCTGCTCTCCGCCACCTGCCAGTGCTCTCGGCCACGCCCACTTCTCCACCGCAGAGTGGAGGAAGCTTCTCCTGCAGGTGTGGACTGCACACAGACTTGTGCACCTGTGCAGCAGGTGCTAAATAATTTTAAAAAATTATTTTAAATTATAAAAAAAAGTCCATGCCGATCGTGCGACTCATCCATCAATCAGCCAATTGCGTCACGTCCAATCTTACTTTGAAAAACCGTGATAGAGCGAGTCCAGGAAAAACGAACCGCGAAGTAGCAAGGGACTACTGTATACACATAATTTATTTGTCACTTACATCATGCCTTTGTATAGAACACCCTTGAAGCTGGTGTCATTATGTATGTTTTTAGGGATAAAAACCTGTCATGGTGACCAAACTGTGTTTGTCTCTACGTAAAGAAATGTTTTAGCTTCTCTCTTAGCTTGTTGTAGTTTTCAGTCCAGCAGCTTTTATGTTTTGGTCCACTCTTATTTCTCCACAGATACCTCTAGAAAAAAAAAAATCAATTAAAGGAAATCGTACAACTTCAAGCACTGTGCCATCTTCAACGAGTACCACGGGAATATTAGAAGTGTTGCGCTTTATCTTTTAAAACTACTTTTACTTTTGGTCTAAAATTTAAAATTGTTGTACGTTCTAGTTTGCTTTTATCAATAGATGACAAATGTGTGAAGCTCTAATCGTAACATGACTATTTCTGTTCAGTAGAACAACTCTAGTTGGTTTAATCGTCGTCGTCTTCTTCTTCATCTTGGTTTGGACTTTCATCGCTGTCGTCCACGACGTAGTGATCCTGGTCGTATTCGTCATCGTCCTCGGTGTTTATCCTCCCTGACAGAACGTCCTCAATCCAGTCCTCCAGCTCCTCTGCCGTGGGCAGGTCCTCGTCGTTTGACATGTCCAACCAAACGCTATCGGCCTGGAATATAGTGCACCACGAAAAGAAGGAAAGCTTTTAGGTATTTTCTGAACCAATGAGTCTGAAAATCAAACGACCACTAACCACTACAGCACAGGTTGAACAACGGGGAGATAAAGTTAGAGAGGACACACTGAGATGGTTTGGACATGTCCAGAAGAGGGACAGTGGGTATACTGGTAGAAGGATGTTAGAAATGCAGCTGCCAGGAAAAAGACAGAGGAGATATATGGATGCAGTTAGAGAGGACATGGAGGTAGTTGGAGTGAGGACAGAGTGAGATGGAGGACGACTCGCTGTGGCGACCCCTGAAGAAGGAAAAGAAGAATGGGTCTGAAAACGGTACTTACGTCTGTGACATTGACCACACCAATCTGTGGCCTAAACAGGTCCAGTCTGAAGGTTTTCTCCCAATAAGTGGTCAGCTGTAGAGGCAAGACAAACCAAGTTCACTTCGTAAGACTTTTACTTGCATGTAAGATAGGATTCGTGGTCTTTTTGAGACGAATTTTTGTTGCAGAAATAACAATTTAAAGTGCGGAAGAACCAGGGGGAAGTCGTCTGGATCGATCCAGATGATGCTGAGCTCTGGGTTGTTGGTGTTGTCTCTGGCCACATCTTTCAGGATCTCCAGGAACTCGTAGCCATCTGAGAACAACAAAGGAGGGGGTTCCTTATTGGAGCTCCATGAGCTCAAAATTAAAAAAAAAAACTTCAATATTAGGCAACAAAATGTCCCATGTCAGCGTAAGACCTGGATCTTCTTCCTCAGCAAAGGCAACAATATGTATCCCGTCTGTGTCGTCCTCCTAAACGTGGAAAAGGAAACGAAGCATGTTACTGTATGTGGTTTAAATTAAAATAAATATATGGAGCAAAGATTTTAGCCATTTTAACCTGCTTTAATAGATCAAACACTCACCCATATCTCAAACATATTCTCAGCCCGGAGCTTCCTCAAGGTAGCCCTGTGAAGATCACACTGTCAGTAATACCACCTAAAGAAATGGCTTAATAAGACCTTGTCTGCATGATTCCAGACACTTGTATAAACTGTTTTTCTCTGTTTAAAAAAAAAAAAAAAGTCTACATTATTCTAACAAAAACCCTTAAATACCCCTTACCACTAGGTGGCGACAATATCCTCAATGACAACATATCAAGCCATAGAAAAAGAACATCCTCAACTCAGCTGAAGATTCATGGACCCTCATTTAGTGGCCCTCTGTAAAGGTTATATCAAAACTTGATTACTATTTTCTTTAGAACTATCGACAATTTATTTTATTAAAAGTTTCAGCCCAAGACCAAAGTTAAATTATTTAGATTCTCTCCACTGGCTCCCTGTCAAATTCAGAATAAATTTCAAAATCTTCTAACCTACAAAGCTCTCAACAACATAGCTCCATCTTACATTACAGATCTTATTGTTCCATACTTTCCCAACAGAGCACTTCACTTTCAGACTTTCAGGTTTACTTGTGGTTCCTAGAGTTTCCAAAAGCAGAATGGGAGGCAGATCTTTCAGTTATCAGGCTCCTCTCTTGTGGAACCAACTTCCAGTTTCTGTCTGAGGCTGACACAGTGTCTGCTTTTAAGATTAGATTTAAGTCTTTCCTTTTTAATTAATCCTATAGTTAGGGTTGGCTTGGGTTTCCTGAGCCCTTGGTTTCAAGAGCACAAATTGATTGTGAACATCCATAAATTACACTTCTATGCCGTCATCATAATTTAAGTTCTCGAGGATCTATTATAAACAGTTTAGAAATATTTTCTCTTTGAAAAGCTTTTTTTTTTTTAATTACTCACTAAAACTATTTACATGTGGACAAGAGATGTAGATGTAGTAAAAAAAAAATCTGTTTCTAAAAACATCTGGAGTAAGTCCTAATTCTTCTAAATACAGTAGTCCCTCACTTATCGCAGGGGTTACGTTCCAGACACTCCCACGATAGGTGAAAATCCGTGATGTAGGGACATTATATTTATTTTAGTATTTATATATATTTTAAGGCTTGATAAACCCTTCCCACATTCTTGCAAAAGAGCACAGTGAAAGAGAGCAGACAGACTGATGCTACGGTTCCTGAGCTAATCAGACTGGCCATCAGGAGCACCAGGACATTTCCCGGTGGCCTGGCCCACTCAGTGATCACCGAGGGGCTGGACTAAAGGCTCAGTTCGGGTCACGCTTGATTATTTAAAAAAGACGATCCATGTCGCTTACTCAAGTATACGCCTCACTGAAGCTCCCTGAGCAGTAGCAATGGGGAAAGACAGACCCTGCCCCCTCCTTTCTCTTTCTGAGGCTGTCTGTCACAGCAGAGCAGAGACACACAACAGGTTGCACGCCCGCCTTTTGTGTGTCCCTGCTCTGCTGTGACAGACAGCCTCAGAAAGAGAAAGGAGGGGGCCCCTTGGCGATCACTGAGCAGGCCAGGCCACCAGGAAATGTCCTGGTGCTCCCGATGGCCAGTCTGCCCCTCAGCACGATGCTCTGGTTGTTCGCCTTCCATCAATCAGCCAATTGTGTGTCGTGTACAGTCTTACGATGAAAACCCGCAAAAGAGTGAGTCCACAAAAGTTGAACTGTGAATTATTGAGAGACTACTGTATTCAGTCTAACCTCCTGTGTTGGTTGACATAATCGACGATATCCATCTCTAATAGAGGTCTTCCAGGTAAGATGGCCGGCTCCTCCATGAACGGCTCGTAAAAATTTACTTCATTCATCTTTAGGGACAGATGTTTGGCCACCTAAAACAAAACACCACACCAGGATGTTATTTCAGTACCATTATAGAAGGATTTAATTAACTAAATGTTCATAATTTAAATACTAAAACAAACGTTTTAAACTTTGAATATAATTGTTTGATTTGTTCTGTGGAGAAAGTTGACCCCAGTCTTATCTTTACAATTTGTGATGCGTTCCATTTACCTCAGAAGTCAGAACTAGGATCTGGCAATATTGAACTTATCGTGTTCCAGTTGCAACATGGAAGACCAGTAGCTTGGCTAATATTGTGCTTCATAACTAAGCTATTATTAGCAACAAAATTTGATAAAGTATTTATTTGCGTTCTAATGCTGTACAAACATGTTTCCTTATAGAAGTAGTACAAACTCACAGAAGTTAAGCATTTAGTGCACACTTTTATTGCCACTTTTCATGTGTGAGGCAGCCATCTTGGATATTTAAGTTGGTGTGGTTCAGCGGTTTCAGAACTCTCCAAGTCAAAATTCTGACTTTTGGTGTGTTAAGAATATATTGTGTCTTTTGAAACTCAAAGAACTAATGGAATACAAAATTGTATAAAGCAACTACAGCAATATTTCGCTTAGCTTTGCGTAAAAACTGGAATTTTGCAAAACAGCTAGCTTAACTTGACAACTAACGTCTTAGTTTGTTGCATTTTTGTGATAATCTTGTAAAAAATAACTGACTATGCTTTATAAAATAAAAATACTGGGAGTTTTACAGGGAATAAGTTTCAGAATATCTTTGAAGCAGATGGTGCTGCTGACATCAGACTAGGCCATAAAGCCTGTTAGCTTACTGATTAACTCTAAGCAGGGTTTAATTTGAGCCGGATCCTGCTGGAACAGGATCTGGGAACGCTCTTATTTTGACAGGGTACGTTCCAGTAACTGTTTGCTTGGCTCTGGTAACTCTCAGCCTTATTAATAATAAACTTATGAACAAATTTGGCTGACTTGAACAAATAAAACCTACATTGGATATGTAAAGTGAAAATAATTACATAAACACTCATTTTAAATATAACAGTCACTTACGAGCTTCTTAATACTGTATCACATAAGAGCTCCGGGTAAGAGCTCGTCATATAAGCATTTCCACTTCTACCCTTAAAAAAATCTATGCTGTTAAAAGTACAGTCATGAGTGATTTAATTAAAAACACAAAAATATAATTAAACAGCACAACTAAACTGCAAATCAGTTTTACAGTTTAAGAGGGTCATTAATAAAATTTTGATTATTAAAAATATGATTGATAGGTAATCACGTCATTATGTACATCACGTATCAAAACAATGGTGCCAATTTGTTAAAGTAACAGCGATCAAAGTGTTGAAAAGACAGTCCAGTTTACTTTCATTTAAAAAAAAAAAGTCTTCTCATTGTACAACTAAACAAATGAGATGTGAAGCACATGAAGGCAGTGGAAATGGAGATAGTACTGGAGCAGATGTGAGGATGCTTGAGAGAAGCGTAGTATGCTCTATTCACACAAGGAGAGCTGTTGGTCAGATTACCTTTTGTTGCTCTCTAAAATAGTTATTGAATCAAGTGTTTACAAATTTAGGGAAACACAGATGTTTAACCACCCATTAAAATATACCAGAATGCAGGAAATGGCATCTACTTTATTCAAAATTTTCTGGTGGAGGACCCCCCAGACCCCATGCTATTTGTGTTCCGGCATTGTTTGGTTTACAAATTAAGCACTGGTTAGCAGACTTTGATCAAAACCATGACAACTATTTATTAAAATGGATTATATAACTTTTAGCAGACAAGTATATTCATACATCAGTTTTTTCAAGAAATTTGGTAAATAAATAAATTAAATTATTTAGGCTGCTCCTGAAGATGTGGCAATCCCTGAAGCCTTCTTCAGGGGTTGCCACAGCAATCTAACTCGCACAAAGATTTGGCAATTGATTTTGAAACCGGATGCCCTTCCTGACGCAACCACAGACCACCAAGCTACCACAGCCCTCTGTGTGGAGCAGAAAGCTGTTATCTAGGCACCCAGAGGAGCAGATGGTTTGGGTTAAGGGCCTTACTCAAGGGCCCAGAGTGGGGCAAAGGCATGTGTGGGTGCTTCAACTTTACCACACACATCTTGACGTTGTTGGTCCGGGGAGTTGAACCAGCGACCTTCTGATCACAGGCCGACCTTCTCTAGCCTCTGTGCCACCACTCCCTTTTCCTAAAATGTTTTGTGACTTTCCCAAAAGTCAGTTTTGTGCCCGTTTTCATGGAGTGCTCTTCGAGCGTAAAGGCATTATTTTATGTTGGCGGATGAGTGGAAAGCTCATAAAGCAGACACAATAAAGCATCACATTATTTTAAATTTAGCCTTTTTATTTTTACTTACAGATTTATCGAACGTCGCAAAAAACTTGACGTAAGGCTGAAATCTCTCCGAGGCTTCCTGAAAAGCTTTGAAGTCTGGGAAATCAAGCGGCAGAGAGAATAAAGTTGAGCATTCATATTCTGGTTATGTACGGAGAAAACCAAGCCATAAAACCCATTATCCTCTTTCACTTTCCCAACATCCTGATTCCACCATCTTCATTTAAGTCTTTCTTAACACTGTTGGATGTGCTTGTAAAGCTGGCTCTGCTACCAACAAGGTCACCACCAAGGACCAGCCAATCTCCAGACAGATATGGGGTTCATAATTAAATTTTGTATCACTGTCATACCAAAGCAGATAGCATCTTCTCAGCTTCAATGTATCTCCTTTTCTCACTGAGAGGAACTATAATTGTAGTTTGACCTATTACATGAAGAACTGGGGGCTATTTAAAGTCCCCCGTGGGACTCGAGGGACATTTTTATAATCCGGTTTCTTTTTAAAAGACTGTTAGGCTTCATGGTGATGTAGCACCGTTAGCACTGAGCTCCATTAAAACCTCTGGAGCGTGCTGTGGTGACGAAAGAGACAGTACGTTACCCATTATGATTTAAAATACAAGTGCATTATTAAAATGCCGATGTCGGCATAAGTAAAAAGAGTTTGAGAAACCAACGAGAGTCCTCTCCTTTGAAGTAACCGATAAGTCGGATGTCTTCTTCCATTCTCTCGAAAGCTCGCAGCTCCATGGCATTACTGATGATCTCCACTGGGTCCTCCAGCACCTGAGAGATTTTGTAAAAGACAAATAAAGACATAAAATAAAGTGGCAGGTCATTGCCTCACAGCAACAAGAAGGTTTCTGGTGTGGTTCTCAAGTGGACCTTTCTACATAAGTGGAATTTTCAAGTTCTCCCTCTTGTGGAACTCCATTTTCCCTCCAAAGTTCAACGAGCCGTACGCCATTGTCTCCTGACGCAGAAGAATTTAAATAGTGAATGTTTGTAGTTTTCGAGACGAGTGTTTTTCCGGACTGGAATTGAACAGGGAATGCAAGTAAACCTTAATGTTTTTGATTCAAGGTATTCAAGTGCATAGGAGTTACACTGTGGAGAAGACATAGTTGGCAAAAGGAGGGAGCCATTTTTTCCATGACTAGGAGCAATGGTGGAGCCAGGGAGTGGCTAAGGGTGGCCTTGGCCACCATAGATTAATCTGTAGCCACCCCAGTCATTTGTGGAAACTATACTTTGAATATACTCAAATGACAGGGATGGACGGTTTTCATATATACAGTATGTATGGTGGTGGCCATCTTGGATTTTGATGTGGTAGCCAATTTTCGAAAGGAACCTTTCTTTCGCCTAGATGTTGCCACACACCAAAACAGAATTTGGTACCTCCCGCTCCCGTGTGCGCTCACACCAAACACGAATGGACGGTATTTCCAATTCCCACTTTTTGCCCAGGGAGACTAAAACCACCTCGGTGAGTCAATTGTTGATTTTAAATCAACCATAGGTGTGAGTGTGCATTGTTGTCTTTTTGTTTACTCTGTCTAGGGGTATACCCCACTACTAATAGTCTCAGACCTGTTTCAATACATTGTGGTTCAGTATCTTCTCATCAATCGTGGTCCTTAAATTCAGTGCAATTTATTTATATAGCGCCAAATCACAACAAAGTTGTCTCAGGGCACTTTACAGGAACATTCACATACATAGAAAAGCCAATTAGTAAAGTTCTCTATCTAAGGAAGCCAGCAGACATGTTGAATCTTGGCTTCATTGCAGTCTCCCATCTGAGCAAGTACAATGGCAGCAGTGGAAAGGAAAAACTCCCTTTTAAAGGGAAGAAACTTCCAGCAGAACTAGGCTCAGGACAATAACAATATGGCTGGCTTGCCTAAATTAGCAATTGGCAAGAAATAGCCTGTTCCTGTGGTGCGTGCTGACAAAATGAGAGTATTTTTCAGTAGCTGTTTTCAAATTCTCCATCTCGGAAGCTTCAAAATGATCCGTAGTGTGTTGAAAGTTAGAGATTCATCATCTGGCAACAAGCTAGTTTGTTTCTGAGAGAATGAGAATTTGAAAATTCAGTTTTCGTTAGTCTGGAGTGACAATGAGTGTTCCATACCAGTTTTTGAAAAGGGGAATCCCTAAACTCCACAATGGCGCCAAACATTATACGAAGGGATTTCTCTTCGCTAGGGCAGCTGTCAGAAAAAAAGTGGTCCATTTCCAAGGAAATTATAGGGATTATTTTTGAAGCCATACCTGCTGGAAAACTACGATCTAAAGGTGGATTAGTTAGATCATATCCTATTTTAGTTACCGGGATCGCCTGATGGTGTCTTTATGGACTCAATTTTACGCAAATCTTGGCAAAAAACAAAATACATTTTACTGTTTTAACACGTTTTCTAAGGAGGTTGATGCCTTGTTTTGACGTTAAAAAGATAATTAACTGTTTTACTTACATCCAAGAGAAATTCCACCAACGTGTCTGCCGACAGCTCCCCGTCGAACTCAATGACCCGGTCCTCCTTGAAGACGTACAAGCTGCCCACCTCCTCCAAACCTGGTTGGTTGGCAGAAACACTGACCGTTACTCTTTAACGCTCGTCTTGAAGCTAACGTTTGATGAATGGTATTGTGAACGACGAAGAACCCTTGGTTGGTATTAATCATTGTGGAATTGTGATACGTATAAGTCATACCTAATTTTTTTGCTACTTTGGCGTCTTTTTGGGCGTCCACCATTCCAAAACCGATGTCTTTGTTCTCCAGGACTTGAGCTGTAAGCTGGATGTTCACAACATTATATTTAACCAATTTTTAAACCTGTACTGACACTGTGGGTCACCAAAAACAAAGCATGGATCAAAAGGCGCAATGTCCCAAAACCAAAGAAAATGCATATTTGCCGGACTCGAACTTGTCTTCATAGAAGCTTAAGACCAATTCCGTCCACGTTTTTCTCCTTACTTTACATTTAACTTGACATTTGAGTGTTTGAGCCGGCATCCACAGCTTCTTCTGCCTCCGCCAGTTCATTATCAAGGTGTTTTAGTGCAAATAGCTCCCCGGGAAGCTCTCTCGTTAGAGAGGAAGTCAGGACTCAAGAAGACAGACGTCAGACTTTTTAACACTTCTGCTTTTAAAACGTAAATGCAGAAAATCGCTCGGTGAATGAACATGCGGATAACAGATTTTTAAAAAAAGAAAAAGTTTGAAAACTTAGACATGAGAAGGTCGATTTATTTCAGTCACAGGCAGATGCTAATTGGTTCTGGGAGCGAGCTATAATTAAAATAATGACCCAGAAATGGTCCCTGGATAGCTGTGAGGACCGAACATAATGGGATTAAAATCCCTGCTTGTTGCTTTAAAGTGAGCGCAGGTGAAATGGAGCCTGAATCCATCAAACTGACTGCAGTTCTTCAGCTTATATTTAGGATGACGGTTTAAAAACTGGGAAAAAAGACAAACTAGAGAAATTGCATTTCCTGTGAAAATGCAGTGTAAATGCTTATTGCTGAAGAACTTCCTGAAAAACGGCTGAAATTAGCTAAGAAACATGCTAAAAGATAGCTAAAAGAAGAACAGGCCTAAGTTAACAGAAGGAAGCAAAGAACACATATTTACTAAATTAGGTTTAAATCAACAGAAATGGGCACAAAAATTAAGAAATTAGCTTAAAAAAAGGCTGAAATTAGCAAAAAAAAAACAGCTGAAAAGGCAGAAAATGGCTTAAACAACCAGAAGGAAGCAGAAAGAGCTGTAATTAGCTACAAAATATGGAATTAGCTGAAAAACTTAAAATGAGCATAAAACAGATAGCTGAAATAGCAGTAAATGCTAAAACCAGCAGAAAAAAGCTGAAATTATTACTTCCTTGCAGTATATTAGCTTTAACAACCGTTAGCTTAAGTTAGCTCGCTAAATGATTGATTTCGGCCCGATGAGGAGGAGCCGCGGCAACAAAAAACCCGACTCTAAACCTTGTAAATATCACTCAACTATAGTTGTTGGTCATTTTTATCAGAATTAAACTCTTTTTTTTCCTCAAAATGAGGTTGTTCAAAAAGCTATCTATAACAGGTAAGACATTTATTATTCACAACCTTTCCACAGAACTTCACTTGGAACATTTCTGATCTATTCCTACTATGGGTTTGGAAAATATTATATAGAAATCAGCGGATGGAGGGAAAATAAACAAATAGTTCATAGAATTGTTTACTAGTTTTCCAATTTTTAAAGGATTTTAAGTGTGCCTTGTAGTCCGAAAAATACGGTAATTCATTTTTCGTTTGCCACTAACCCTGTTTCTCATCACAGGACGTCTAAACTTGAACCTGAACTCCTCTCCTCACCTCCAGCACCAGCTCGGTCATCTGGAACTGCTTCTGCAGGCCCTTGCTGGCCGGCACAGGTTCGTGGTAGAACAGGCACAGCAGGTCATATCTCCGCAGCGCCTTCTTGTAGTTGCGCTCGTTGACGTCCAGCACCCTGTCCTTGCCGTCAAAGTTTGGGAACTCCAGACCTTCCTCGGCCCGGCAGAGAAAAACCAGGTGAAGACTAAGGCCGGACAGAAGGGAGAGCCAGATTTGCTGCATCGTTCAGCCGTGGAGGAATCAAAACACCTCTTGAACCTGCACACACACAAAATACATCCACAGATTTGATCTCTATCGAAGATAAGCTCTAATATTTCATGCTGCTTCTCTTTATTTCTCCTCTTCGACAGCTTCCCCTCTCGTCTTGTCCTTTATCTCCTCCTCTGTGTCTTCCCACAGCTCAAATCTCAAGAGGGTCCCATTCCTCCTCCCTGAAACTCACGACACATTTAAAAGAACAATTATTCATTATTAATCTGTTATTATCTTTTAAAATTAAGGAGTAAAAAAAAAAGTCAATTACTCATTCAGTGGTTAACATTAAATAACCAAATTGTAGTGTTATGGTTATGAATTTGTTTGGTGTGTTGTTTTTTTGTTTCAGACTCAGATGACCATTTAAAACAGTAGTTGTCAAACTGGGGTCCCCGGACCCCTGCGCGTCCGTGAGCTGGTACTTTGGGGTCTGAAAAAATAATAATAATAAATATATATATATATATATATATATATATATATATAT